TTTTCACAGGGGTCGTGTGATAGGGCAGCGAAAAAGTACCTTCATTTACACAGAGCCAAACAAAAGCAGCATCGTGTCGCCCAGTGTGTAATTTTATATAGCATGCCGGTGTCCCGCAAGCAAAAGAGGCGGGACAGGCGTCAAGTGTAACACAACAGCGTCCGCCTCTAGAGACATTTAATATACACATTGGCAGAGCTTTCTAAATGATAACAATGGCATAACATGACATTAACAATCATTTACTGGCCCTGTTATATAGAGGTTGATCTCACCCTCTGCAACGATGAGACGTTACTGTTTTCCCACTTTTTTGGCTGCTATTCTTCTTTGAGTTAGCTGCTAACTGCTTCTAGCTGCTTTTTAAATCTCCCAGTAGTAAGTTGCACACATAACATATCATCAAAATGTCCCACTTGTCCTGTTCATGGTCCTGTCCTGCCTTGATTTGGTGCTTTTCCTACCTCCGCTGCCAGCTTAGCGGCGAGACAACTCTGTCTCTGCATTTCGCGATCTTAGCTTTGGAAAGAACATTGTAGTGGAATAACAGCGCGACATTCCTGCCTTGAACAGGCAGTGTAAAAGGGGCCACAGACAGGGGTAACAATCCCCCAGCAGGGCCCTCTGCAAAAGTTATAGTGATGCTCTTAATCCTTCCTGTGAAGCTGGCCAGATTAGGTGAAAGCAGTGCTCCTGTCTTGCGCTTATCTTAATTATACTCCTCTAATCGATATGATTTAATCAGCAGATGGTTCTTTTAATGAATATGTTTGCCCCATAACATAGATATTGATTGGGGACAAAAGTCAATGAGAGGAAGCCACATGCATTTGTGGTTGGACTCATATTCTCTATCACTGTCTCCGAGCCAAGTTCAGCATCTCAGGCTGCAGCCCCTTTAAGTGATCTTAAAATCAGGCAGTAGTACTACGACACTGATGCTAGTGGAAGCCACTGTTGCAGCAGACACCAAAAATAAGGTCCTCGCCAGTAATTTACATCAACGTAGCAGAGTGAGGTCTCCAGAGAAATGGGCAGCGGTATCTCCTGGAATCTCTAATTAGATTACTGTCTGTTGCTTCATTGCATGTCAGGCCTTGTTACCCTTCTTTCAGACAGATTAGAGACAATAGCCAGGCTGTGGGATGCCGGATTGCCCGCGTGAGCATACGCTAGCTGTGAGCAGGCCGGGGCTTACAGCAGATGAATTAATATAGGCGTTGACGTTTCTGGGATTAGCAAGACAAATGAATGGATCTCTTTTTCTTTCTTATGCTCTGATCGGCACGTTCTTGACACTGACACTTATGTTCTACTATCTCTCATCTCATCCCTCCCCTTCTCTTGACAACCATCTACCCCCACTCCTCCTACACTGCACTTCTCTTCTATTACTGTTCTTGTTACAGAGGCCCTGCCTATGTTGATAATTGTTGGTGGAGCAGTAGGTGGAGGCTGTGTCCTGCTCATCTGTGTCATCACTCTAGTCTCCCTCTGTTGCAGGCACACAGGCAAAGGTGAGCTCAATGGTTAGTATGGGCGAGCGGGTCAACAGCCAATTCTTCAAATCAAACAGATTAAAGTCTTTTTCATTTGTGAGCTCAAAAATTGAATGGTTTTTGTTCAATTTTTGTGGCGTCTCACCCTGTGATTAAATGGAATTTTTGATGTCAGTTTTTGATGTACAAGTCTGCCCGGTGATGTCAAGTAAAGCTCCTCTTCTTTTCAATCCCCGCAGGTAAAAGGTGCACTCGTCTTTCTAAGAGTGACATCAGAGTTCAGATTGTTCACAGTGATCACAACGCTACACGTGGCAATGATGATGAGGAGGATGTCAAAGAGCCCATGGTAAATTTCTTTGTATACCATGTAGATGTCTCTGTTGATGGTTAGGGAAACTCACATTAACACTGTAATATAGTGCTCAGACTTTGTTTTGTTCTTATTCGAGCGAGGTCTTGTTAATCCGAGTAATTCTTCAAAAATGCTTGGTCTTCCCTCAGGCACCGAACAGCAGCGAGTCTCCTGGGACATCGCGCACAGAACACAGCGACCTCCTGGAAGAGGAGGAGGATGAGAGATCGGACATCAAGGTAAAACTGAAAATACTTTCTTGAAGAAACACTGAAAATAGCAAGAGTGCATTATTTTCATCCATAATAATACGGAATCATGCAAAGTTTGATTTATTGTCTTCGTTCTTCTCATAGGACCCCACCAATGGTTACTATAATGTCCGTGGCCATGAAGACCGCCATATCCGCAGCAGTGGATTCTCTGAATATGTGCCCAACTCTCGGCCGGTCTACACCCCATCACAGCTGCCCTCGCCTAGCCCCATGTACGGTCAGCATGGCACCCAGCCTCGCGTCTATGACTTCTCCCACCGATACGCAACCACCACAGCGGGCAGAACCGCATATGAACAGCAGCAAGCTGCCCAGCAACAGCCCGCCCAGCCAGCCAGCATTTATCCAACTGATCCCCTCTACAGTGGCTCAGCTTACCTACCTGCCACCTACGGTCGCGCCTTCACCAGCTACGTTAAGCCTGCTTCCTATGAGAAGGTGGATGCGTATGACCAATCAGATCAGGCCAGCAAGGTGTCCAGCTCGTCTCGCTTCTCTTATGCTTCCTCACAAGTTTCCTCCCAGCAGTCTGACTATGGCCGGCCTTCACAACGTATGCAGACGCATGTCTGATTGGACAAAAATAACTGGAAAAAAGGAAGAGTACAGGAGCAGTGAGTAGATAACCATTGTCACCTCCACACACGTGTGGCTGGACTAACATGAACAGAGACTTACTTTACTTGGACGGTCCTTCGCGGACATGTTTGGACAGTATTTGGAGGAGTCATGCGATTTACGGAGGTTATGGGATAACCGACCTTTATTTGTTGTGATGGATGGCGGGATCTACAATAATGCTAACTGTAGAGCTCCTGAGCTGGAGAATTCAGCAGATTGTGATGTTCAAGTCAAACTTCTGATTACAGTGCGATACCTCACCAGGTTATCTCTACATGATGACCACCCAAACCTGTGGAGATACTCTGTCAGTGCAAGGGCCAATGAGAAAGTCAAATGAAATGCATCTCCTGAATTTGGGTGGCCAAAATGACTGGGGTAGCTGTTTACCTGCCTTTCAGAGTTTACTTTGTGTCAACACTAAATGTCAATCATGACCTCTAAAATACTTTGAAAGAAGATATTACAAGCTAAGACATATTTGAGGAAAAAAACAGATATGAACAACCTATTGTTGTCTGTCATTTGGTGTTTTGTTGGCATGCGAAAGGAATTCTAAGCACATTTGTGTCTCTATCATCCACAAAAGACTGAGCTATCCACAGAGACAGACAAACTATTCTGCACAACAGGCTAGCTCTACTGACCAACAAGTGCTACAGGCACTGTACTTTATGAAGAGTTTAAAGAGTGGAGGAATACTTCTGGCCTGAGCTGTATTCCTGGAGCTTCTTCTGATAATAACCCTAACACTTTGGACTTAGCAGTGTTGTTTACTGGTGGATAAAAGAAGGAGATATGAAGAGAATGTGTATTTTAGCCATCATTGTAATGGAGGGCTACATGTTAACTGTGTATTGTACCAAGATGGACAAGTTTAGGCCATGAAAACCCAAAGATGGTGATAATTGTATAGGGGGAAACGGGCTGAGGCTGAATACTGCGGTCCTACCCCTGGTACTGTTTTCTGATTGTAAAACGAAGAGGAGGCTATTACCAGAACAATCAAAAGTGGCGATTTGGAAAAATGGTGGCAATCTTGAACTTGAAATAAACTTGAATGCAGCGTCATCTTCAGCAGGCTCAGGTGGGGAAAAGACGTGTGAGACAGTCCTAAATGCGGACCATACACTCTCAAGTTTTACAACTCAATCAAAATTGTCTCAATATGTTTACAAGAAACAGTACTACCCTGAAACACTAAGTATCTGTACAAATGGCTGAGCCCATACTTTCTCTCTGTTGCATGCAAATGATGTGTCTAGTGAAAATCTTCAGCGTTTATATTCATGTCCATTTCATGTTTGAGACATTGGTTTCTGCACCTGGCCCAGTTGCATTCCACTTCCTGGATGTTTCAGTATGGATGCCTGTACTGCCATTTGTCTACAAAGCTGTTACCAGGCAGCCTGACGAGAGATCAAATGTCACTTAAAGTGAGGAGGCAAACATCATCGCTTGTCTTTATTTTTATATTTTATATAAGCCTTAATGTACAGCGTGTAAGCTGCTCTACTGTAAAGTATCTTTATATAAATATGTATCTATATTGGTTGATTTATTTGGGTCCACAGATTTTCTTCTCTAAGTTGTTCATCAATCATTGAATGCAGTTATTATGCTTTTTCTTTGGATCACAACTAATTGCCATTTGTTTGTTCATTCTTTTAATAATGTATTAAGAATTTTATTTGCTAAAAATGAGCTATCGTTGCTTGTACCTTTGTACACATATTTATATTTAAATAAAACCATTTCCGATAAAGAACTGGCTGGTGTGAATCCTGAGAGTTAATCAGCCTGGTGAGTAGCTTCATTGGGCATGGGGAACAGCGACAAACAAAGCTTCCCATGTAGCAACAATGATGAATACATAAATTAGCAGCACTGTCTATGTTGATTTTCCTATTCCCCCAGTGGTGCGCTGCTTTTAATGAAGACAGATGAGATAGTGGAACCCCCACTGTATGTGTATCCACCTCCCAAAGTCGACATGCCCGTCTTGTAGGGTAATAGGATAGAGCTGTGACAAAGGCAGGTATTATTTGACAATATGAGTTCATCTTGTCACCTCTGTTCCCCAGGTAGGCACGCTGCTCACGACGGGGAGGAGAGGTACATGCTCATTACAATTCTACTGTGAGAAGGGACAAGGTCTCACAAGACATGCATTTATTATGCACAACATAATACAAAATGAGACCTCGTCAAAGACAAATAGTCCAGGTAATGCAATTAGGTACTGAGAAATCGGATAAAAGATGTTTATTACTACGACTCTTTCGTATAAAAACATAGAAAAACACACACAACAAAGAAAGGTTATAAAGTATTTCCATAGTCCAAATCACACTGTACAATACTCGTGAAATAATTAAAAGAAGTAAAAGTTGTGGCTTCTCCTTACTTTGTGAAAAACACACATTTACGCTTGCATAGTTTCACTGTAAGTCTCTGAGGAATTAATAAAAGAGGTCCGCTGAGCAATATCCTAAACAAATTTTTCTTCTTAATTTTTTCCCCTTCAATAAATAATACTTATGCTAATCTTTGGTTTGCTTACCCAGGATATAATATTTCCAGGATAAGTCAGAGATGAAGGCAAAAAGAGTAAGAGAAATCACCCAGTCAAATCTTAGATTTAAAAGTTGACTGACTTGGTCGTGACCGGAGAGAGGAAACTCTCACAGGGATAAGAACTCATTGCATTGCTCTGGCAAACTGATGAAAACCCCACTGGTTTGCTTTGGCTGTCAGGTGTGTGTGTGACTGAAGACCTCAATCACCCTGAGCTTAACTAGAGACCTGTGCAAAAGCCAACTGGATCTAATCCTCATCCTCTGCCTGCCCGACCTCCTTGGAATATCACATTTTGGCAAATCATTCACAGACCAGGCAAGGCCAGTAAGCATCTGTAAATATGTATTAGAAATACTGATGCAGGACCCCCTGTTCAGATCAACAACAACTTAAGCTTCACTCCAGATCAACAAAAATCAACATTCTTCAGGGACCATGCTGTGTTTTTGCCTGTTTTCGCCCACGAACTAAAAGTCTGGTATACTTAGAGCTGTGGTTGTTAACTTTCATAAAAAATAACTTTTTGTCATATTTGCTGAAACTCTCACAATATCCTGACAGTAACACAAGAGACAATAATCTGTGAAAAACAATCATATTCCTCTGCCTCTTCCTTCTACTGCTTCTAAAGGCATTTGCAACAATCAACCACACATGACTGTTGTCCATTTTAGTGCATCTGTGCACCACTTAACATGTAACAGCGACGGCTGGGAAAGCTGTTTAAATGCTGTGTAATCTGTCAGCCAGTGGCAGCAACCATGTAACTGTCAGCTGACAGAACAAACAACATGGTAGCCATGGTAGCTTTCCTAGCTGACAAATAATTGCCTACATGGACAGTCATGTTCACGACATTATTTTATGTGCGCCTGAATGACATTCATCAATACTCTGTCATATCAATCTCCCTTGGTGGTGATGTCTACGCTGCTATCGACGCTGAAATTTAGCAGCAGATCTGGCAACTATGATAACTACCACCTACTAATGGTGATGACCCACTGATTGACATGATTGACAGCTGTGTCAGAGACTCCTCAGCTCTGATTGGTTGTTTTCCTTCAGCTGCAGTGGAGTCTAGCAAATGCCATAAGAAGCAGCAGGAAGAGGAGGTGGGGCAGGATTTCTTTCACAGACTGTCTCGTGTGCTGCTATGTGCATGTAGCGGCAGATTCAGCAAATATGACAAACGTTTATTTTCATAAAAGTCACCAGCTAGCTTTAACAACACTGTTGTGGGCTCTCAGACTGATTATCGCATTTTATACACTTCTGGTTTCATTCATTTTAGTATGATATGAAAATGCCCCTGCATAGATTTGAGCAACATAACAAGTCTTTTGTTTTTTCCCTGTAACTTCAGTTATAATTAGTTAAGTTAATGTTTATACTTTTCCTGATAAAAACTGAGACTAATGTCTGCCTGGCAGATAGGTAGATAAAAATGCTTTAATCCATCTAAAAACCGATGTTATGCTTTGCAAAACAATCATCAGTTATGTGCAAGTGTTTTGTAGTAAAAAGGCTAAAACAAGAGTTCTGGTCCTGTAAGATATCAATGAATAAAACCCCAAATTTACAGAAAGATCTACAGCATGAGCCCACTGGCAAAGTGCAACACTGACTGCAGCCCAAGAGGAAAAAGGCATCTCACCTGTTTAGAAGTACACAATGCTAAGACTTAAAAACACAATTTCATTTTTAAAAACTTTTTAGATTTGGCATCCATCTTAAAGAGTTACATTTGGCAAAGAATATGTGTATTTCAAGATTTGCTTTCAGCGAATGCACTGTGCTGATTCATGCCTTAAAAAAACTATACAAAATATGACTTAGTGTGGTTTATGTGTAAGTGTTTGTGCGTGTGTGCGTGTGTGTGTGTTGCGGGAGCGAGAGGATGGAGGTCGGCATCCACATAATGTGCTTCAAGTCATTCATGTGAGTAGCTGGGTCCATGCAACAGTATCCTCAGTCTGCTGCTAAATGAATAAATCTTGGAGAGACTCGTCCGAATCAAGACTCAAATGTTCCGTCTCCATTATTTTTAGCACTATGATGCTGTTCCCTGCTCCGCATCCCTCCCTGTTCCTACCGACATCATCAAACCCCTGTCTCCTTCCTGATCCATTCTCTCAGCTTGGTGACGCGCGAGTAGACACCAGGCTTGTTCCGACGAGCGCAGCCCTCACCCCAGCTCACGATGCCGGCCTGGAACCACTTCCCACTCTCCTCAAAACACACCATGGGGCCTCCGGAGTCTCCCTAGTGAGTAAGGTGAGGAGAGAGTGGCTATTAGATTGGGTTTGGATGTGAGAGCATGATAATTATATGGGTGTCAAAACCTGTTCTGTTTCAGCCAATGTCCTTTTATTCTGTTCTGAAGCACATGCGCCTCAGTCTCACCTGGCATGCGTCAACTCCTCCGGCCAAGAATCCGCTGCAGAGCATCCTGGAGGTGACTTGGCCCTCAGTGACCACGTTACACACCGTGTCATTGATGATTTTCACCATTGCCTTCTGCAGCACCTGTGCCTTTTGACCTGCAAGACCAGGACAAAGGGGTCACATGACCTCTGTGTTCGTCGCCAACATCAAAGGTGGTAATGGGATGGATTAGTGTTAGCTAATGAAGGTTTAAGAGGCTTCCCAGGAGAGTCGGCGTCTGTCTTGATATATGGATATGGAAGAAGGCTTAATGGAATAGAGCAGATTAGAAAAAGATGAGAGAAAAGGGAGGGAGGGTAGAGCGGAAGAGAAGTATGCCATGATGGGAAAGATAAAGAAATGGGAGGGACATTAAAGGAAAGAAAGACTAAAGGATGAAATGAGAGAGAGATGAAGGGAAGAAGAAGGAAGCAGGCAGGGAAGGAAGATGAAGGACGGAGATGAATAGTGCATTGTGAAAAGGATGGGGGAGGAGTGGGATGTCTTAATTTTGATGTGAGTTGGATATGCAAAAAGGAAAAACACAACTGTAGAGTGGGTCACCCGTGATTGAGGAATAATAAAAAGCATAAATATTCAAAATTAGTATAATAATCAGTTGGAGCGAAAAACGACAAATGACGACAGTTCTGCCCAGAATCACCAATTCATGCATAATACCTCCTTCTCGGAGCGCGCCCCAGCCTGTGACCCAGCAGGACATGCCTGCAGGGAAGATGTGGGAGGAGGCGGGTAGGCAGATGGGTTGGATGGTGTTGGTGAACTCCAGCGGTTCGCTGAGCTCCAGCAGTGCAATGTCATAGTCAAAGGTCATCTGGTTATAATCCGGGTGGGAGACGATCCTCTTCAGTCCTCTGCGCTGTACGCCATCTTGCCTGTACTGGTCCTGCATGCCACTGTAGGTTTGCCAGTTGGATGCAATATGGTTCCTGTGGCAGCATCATGAGGCAAAGGTTATGTGTGTGTACAGGCGTGAGCCAGGATGAGTGGATGCAATATGATGAACATGTGTGCAATCCAATACAAGCCAACACAATAGCCCTGCAGTGTATGCTACACTAAGGTTACAGTTTTTATTGAGACAAAACGGTAAGAAGAGCTTTCGGCATCGCATCCTCTCTTACAGTCTCAACAAAAACACAACACTCATGGCATCATCACAACCCCTGTACAAAAATATGTACGATTAAATATTATCTGTGATGATATGTGACTGTAAAGAAAACTGCTGTGGCTTTTATTAAATAATCTGGAAAATGCCAGCATATTCAACATCATTCTGTACAGCAAATAACAACAACAAGTTTGAGCCTGTGAAAATGAACACATTCCCTTCTCAACAACAATAGAGTTGGCTCAGGCTGAACAGCATGGTTAGTGCTCCACCTACAGGGCATGCTGATAAATACAGCTCCATGTTTTCATGGATGAGATGTAAATTTAGCCCCCCCCCCCCCCCAAGGTTTTTCTGAATTAACTGTATCATCAGGGGCTAATTTTCAGACTTTGCAATTTGTATATAAATGGTCCTCTGTTGTGCACAGCTCTACTTTCTTTTTCCAGCAGAATGTGTCTGAGAAAATTGCGTAAAGAGATGTAATAAAATGTTGGATAATGTGATAAATAATACAATATCAAAGGGAAACAATACACCAAAATATATGAAAGGGAATGTGTTACATATTATAAACACAGTACAGTCCTGTTGTGTGCATATGTTTGCGTGCTATGGATGTTTAAAATGTGACTCACTGGGGGTCGGAGGTGACAAAGCAGTGGGCAGCCGAAAGGAGCCACGTCTCAGATATGATCGAAGCACCGCAAACATGTCCGTTTGTCCTGAAGTGAAGGCTGACCTGCCAGGGCCACTCCCCCAGCTCAGCGTTCTGCCCTCCTACGATGCGGTTCAGCTTATAGGGCCTGGTGCCACAATCTGACATTTAACAGAGAATATAATGAGAGAGGAGGGGCGTTGGTGAGCGCAAACTACTAGGTGAGACTGGCATGTGCGATCAGAGGGAAAAATCAGAAAATGAGATTAAGTTGACTGGAAGCTGTCATGATGCCGGCCTTGGCTGCAAATGCTACTATGACTCTTTGGAATCCTAATAAGGCACACTGGCATATTAGCTGATCAAAAAATGTGGAAAAAAAACACAGACACACCCCGAGGCTTAAATGGAGGAAAAAACAAAAAACTTCAGAGATGACAAGAGCTGCTTTCAAAGACGAATGAAATAAATAAAGCAGTCAAGGCCTGGGGCTCTTTTCTAACAGACAGCCCAACGCGCAGCTCTACCCAGCTCTTCTATAATCTAGTTTGAATGACACTGAAGAGATTAAATCCACTTTCAGCTGTTTTAAAAATTGTTTTAAAAAAAAAAAGCTAAATTTTGTAAGGCAGAAAGAGATTAAAACATTTCTTACTACAGCCGGACTCGTCGGAGGCATCAGAGCAGTCGTTGACGCGGTCACAATCGGCATTCACCTTGTTGACACATTCACTGTTCTCACACTTGAAGCTGAAGTCAGAGCAGATGCCCGGAGCTACAGTGGGGAGGAGACAGGTCCCAAAATCAAAACACATAGCGTATTTCAATCAAAGTGTTAGAGCACTGCTAAGTTTAACCAGTAAAAGACTATGCAATCAGAGAGGCTTCAAAGTGAGGCTTGAATGCACAATGCATAGTGATTGAGGAGCAGATTGCATTGATTGGGGGTATTGATTGGGGTTGAGGTCTAATATCCCTCTTTATTCACAGAAGTGAAAATCAAAAGGAAATGCAAGAGAGCCTTGTGTGTGTGTGTGTGTGTGTGTGTGTGTGTGTGTGTGTGCGTGTGTGCGTGCATGTGTGCGTTTGGCCAAGTGAGTGACTGAAAGGGAAATTGATAAAGAGTGAAGTAGAGAGTGGGAGGAAATAAGAGAAAGAGCTGAAAGAATGTGAACAGTGAAAAATACTTTGAATTAAGAATGAAGCCTTCAATGAAGCATCTTTGTAAAGCCTAAAGCTTTACTGACGAAGGTTAATTGCTTAATGGTTTGTGTAACATACTTATAAATCACTCTGGTGGGGATTTTTTTTAAATGCGTCACTGGCTGTAAGAGAATAAGTGCTGCCACTTACAGGTTTTACAAGAGGCCTCGTCACTTCCATCTTCACAGTCCATCTTCTTGTCACACACAACATCCTGAGGCATACATGTCCCGTCACCACAGCGCCACTCATTCTGGTCACAACCTGGAGGCGATGAAACACAGTGATAAGGAAATCATGATAAAATAAAGATAAAAAAAACTCAAACAAGGAGAAGACAAGCCATTGAGCTTCAGAAGGACATTAGCAGCACAGCCACGGTGGACATTAGCATCTGTCTCCATTCTTCTTTGGTGCATTACGCATGATTAAGCGTCTAGAGGGATGCTGAGCAAATTGAGCAAGGCTTCAAACAAACTCTATTACCGATTAAATAATGACTGCACACAACCCAGGAGTCAGTGACCAGCGCATTAGCTGTGATGTGCCTTTAATGTTAGCACAATTAGCATAGCATTAGATAGGGGTTTGAGCGCTTTAGGAATACTTACTGCAACCTTTCTCATCGCTCCCGTCTCCGCAGTCGTTGACACGATCACACACCCAGAGTCTGGGTTTGCACATGCTGTTGGCACAAGTGAACTGATCCTTCTCACATTCTGAGGGAATAGAAATATCATGTATAAAACAGTGCATCTGAGGAAGACATAAATATATACTGTATACCAGTAGGCAAGGCTGTAGCCATGGAGTCATCACTGGGGTGGACCAAATCTGGTAAGGGGGGAATAATGGATCCTAACTTTACGCATAGCTAGCAAGTGGAATATACTGAGAATATATGGGCTGTTGGCTAGCTAATGCACAAAATGTATGCTAGCTGGCATTATGACAGAAATTCAACACGACACTTAAATCATTAAATTATCCCAATCAACATTGGGATAATTTCCATGTAAGTGGATGGGACATGAGCCAAACTAAAATAAGTACAACTGAAATAAATTTCGGATGGGTGTTTGGGCGGGAACTTGACACCGCGGAGATTGCTACTGCCCAGAATCTGGTTCCAGATGACGTCATCAGTGCAAGATGGCAGCGGCCGTATCCAGTCTCATTTTGGCTTCATTTTGTACAGTGGGGGTAACTGGTGACGCATCATGCATCTTTATACAGTCTGTGGTGCCAACCCACGTGTGTGAGACCGTACAGAGCTGTAGGGATGGCGGGGAGGTTTTGTAGGCTGGCCTGGAAGTTAGCACCTTCCTAATCTCTCAAGACAGATTCTGCAATTTACATTGTAGAATCTGTCGGCAGCCCTGTGTGAAAGACGACTACGGGGGGGGGGAGGGCGGGGCTTTGAGTTTGAACGATGTTGCGCTTTAGCCAATCACAATGGAGGGAGCGTGGCCGAGACGTGCAGGTGTCCCCAGGAAATGTGTACCTACAGAAACAGCAAGCTCCACGTCCATAGCGACCGCTCCACCCAAAACGCCGTCTCATCAACGTGAAAAAAATATTTTTTCCAGCGGATGTCTTAGTTACAACATGATTGAGCTAACTGGAGTAGTTTCATGTCGTATCCTACAACTGGAGGCTTTTAACAGATGACGTCCTGATGTTAGCTTTGCTAACTGTCCCTGTCAGCTGCAGCCACTGCTGCTTTCTAGACATCGTGATTTCCCATAACTGAATAAATACCACACAAAACTGCTTTGCTAGCTCAATCATGTTGTAACTAAGATATCCGCTGGAAAAAATATTTTATTCACGGACCGTTTATTGAGTTATTACCTTATTTTTATACAGTCTATGGTTATTACAGACACCACTAACGGCTAACGTTAACAGCTAACGGTTAGCCCAGCTAATCTACGATAATCATGTTAATTACAAAACACAGAAATAGTAACGTTTGTTCAATAACTGTGTTTACAGACTTAACAAACATCAGATTCGTCTACACGGTGATATAGTGACGTGAAAAATGTGATTGACATATAGCTAAACTCTGCTGGTTTTCTACCCGAAGTATTTGTAAACAACACAGTGATTCCCTGGGGGCACCGCCAGAAGTTAAGGGCGTGAGCGATCGCCGAGGCTCCTGCACTTCTGTTAGTCGAAAAAAATTTTTTTTCTTTTTTTTTAACTGATGGATTTCCAGATTGGCACCTTCCTGGTTCTCTTGAAAAAAAGCCAACAGAATTTTTCCATTGGATTTTATATATTTGTAAAAAATAAGCGAGCTCTGTGGCAAACAAACGTTTATTAAACTTGCATGTTTTGTTCAGCAGAATGATATTTACAAAAGATGCCATTTTTATGATTTGTGCAGTGTAAATGCAATCGTTCATTAGGCTGTAAACAAACTACACCAGGGTTGCATTCCTTTAAATTCGCCATCACAATGAGGCTGTAAAGCCATGTTCGGCGCAATGACGTCCTGTAGTCTAATTCAACCACCTGTGTTTTTTAAGACAACAATAGCTTTAAAATTGTTCTGTATTACTGATGAATCTAATGTTGTAGAACAAAATGTAAACTTCTCTTAAAGGGATAGTGCACCCAAAAATGGAGATATTTTGTGGTTTCAATTATGTGTTTTTGGACGTTTGAATCTGGGGTGCTGTCAACTCATTAGGGGGAGTTGTGTTGCTACCCACTCTCCCCTGGGATCTTCTTAAGGGATGTGAGGACTCTAAAACTTCACCTGAGCCTCCCTCGGCATATAGGTGAGTAGATAATGGTTGAATTTTCATTTTTTGGTGCACTATGCCTTTAAGTTTGTGTTCACCACACACCTTATTTCAGGCATCTAACCAAAAAACCATTCAGAAAAACCCATCGACTTTGAGACGAGGGAACCGACAGTACTAAAGGCTATCTCATTTCCATGTTTTAGGACTCATTACTGCACCACCCTATTTCTTGGCCATTGGCAGTGAGTAACTGAAGCCTGGCAATCTGATATTGAAGATAGGACTCCAGAAAAACACTGCACCCAGCCAACAAATAGTCTTGTACATAATTCCCCATAAAACCACAACTGGTTGTTTTACTCTTCACATTTTGTTACCTTTGGACAAAGCCAGGCTAGTCATTTCCTTGTTTCCAGTCTTTACGCTAAGCTAAGTGGCTGCTGGCTGAAGCCTTTTATTTAACAGGCAGTTATAAGAGTGGTATCGATCTGAAATAAAGGTATTTGCCAAATGTGAGACTTTTCATTAAAGGAGCTCAGATGAGGACATAAGACAGAGGACAAGAAATAAGGAGGGGAGTTAAGACAGAAAAAGTGTGGCTGGGTTGAGGGGGAGCTTACTGCAATTCCTCTCGTCACTCATATCACCGCAGTCGTTCCAGCCATCACACTTCAGTTCTTTCCCGATGCAGATGCCAGAGTTGCAGGCGAACTTGTCGGGGCAAGCTGCTCACAAAAAAAAAACAAAACCAAAAAAAAACAGTGAAAAGAGGGAGGGAGCAGAGGAAAAAAGGAGAGAAAGACGATGATGACAAATTGAGCGAGAAGGAGTGACAGTGTATGTTCGCAACATCCATCATGTTGCCAATGCTTGTCCCTGTTGATCAGAGCAATTATAAATCCATTTTGGTCCAACCGGGAGACAACATAAAGAGCGGAGGGTATTGAAAGTGGAGTGCTCCTGACTGACAGTGGCAAATAAAATGGACCCAATAAACAAGCTCTCTGGTGATTAGTCTAGCTCTTGAGTTTCACTGCTGCAGTTTCAAAGCCTCCATCACTAAACAGCTCCATTTGACTGTCAGTCAGCTACCGTCTTGTAGTCTCTCAGACTACAAAGTTACTCCCCCTGTCTCGCTCTGTAATGGCAGGCTATGAGTGTCACTGTCACGTCGCAACATTTCACCCATCTCGCCAAGTGTCGTGTAAGGAGACGAGACTTTTAACTCACGGTTTTCGGGATCGTAAGCGCTGTACTCGACACTGAAGCCTTTGTCAGTGTAGGACTCATCAGAGTGGAAGTTCACTTCTACGACGTTGGTGGTGCTGGTCAGAGCCAAAGACGTCAGCTCTCCACAATACCTGAGACGAAAGACCAATAATTAAAGGACAATTCAGGTTTATTACAACTTGGTTGTATTTTTACAGTGTTAATGAGAAAAGAGCAATGCTGCCACAATAATTTCCAATGTGGCAAGAAACATGAGCAGTCAGACAAGATGTAAACGGCCAATTAGTTCAGTTAAATCATGTGAAAGATTTAATTTGGAGGTAAAACTGCAAGTGAGAGCGACTTAAATGAGAGTAACTCCACTGGAAAACTGTGTGCATTCACAAATACAGCAAGGACAGTGTTTGTAAACTGTGATGGATGCTTACGGCAGACAGTTTAGGGAACATTTAGGGCATCATTTAAATGAGTTAAAATCTTACTTTTGACCCATAACCTCCACATAGTCTTTGTTACACACACGGATGTCCACCCCAGGCTCTTTCATGCGGAACATGTTGAACCTCAACCGCACCTTGTTCCCAGCAGGTACCTACGGAGCAGAGGAAGAGGTGATTGGTTCATCACAACCTTATTTAGCATGCATGTCACTCCACCTACACACCAAGACATGCATCTGTATCCCATGTAAATTCAAGCAGACAAGTTTGCAACACATCCAAAGAGGCTGTGGGTGCATACACACACACACACAAACAAACAAACAAACACAAACACACACACACACTGCATACACACCAGCAAACAAAACCAACACACAAAGCACTGCAGCTCAGCTAGAGCTGCGGCAGCAACAGCGGTCTGACAGATGAAGATAGAAGAGGTACTGAACAGCTTGGCTTCTACAGTGCTGCCTCAGCATTCCTCTCATGGCAGGCTAAGGATGGAGGAGGAGAAGGAGGGAGGTGGGTGGAGGGGTTTCAAGTAGAGGAGGGGGCCAGGGGATGGAGGCAGTGTTGCAAACCTTAATGGTCCACTTGCAGTCCACGGCAGGAGGATAGAAGCTGGGGTGAAGTGGGGAGGTGAAGACTCCTTGTTTATCAGAGAGGAGGCCACCACAGGTTTTAACTGCAAAGAGCACGGCATATATTCACATTGGTGCATGACGCATTATAATTTCTAATGGGTTTACAGGTCCTGTGTGTAGGATTTAGGGGGACATGTTGGCAGGAATGGAATACAATATAATAACTAGTTTTCTTTAGTGTATAATCACCCGGAAAAAACAGAACAGTCTTGTTTTTGTTACTTTAGAATGAGCAGTTTACACCCTCATAGGGAGTGGATCCTCATTCACACAGTCCACCATGTTGCAGTGCTTTGTTTCTATAGTAGGCCAGGATGGACAAACCAAACACTGGCCCTAAATAGGAGACCTCTGTGGACAATTTGGCTCCTGGTAAAATCCCCTGAACATCTGGATCTCAAGTTATCAGAGAAAAAAGGTGAGCACACATGAACAGGTACTGGTATAGCGGCCCATATTTTTGGCTTCCGGTAAAAACCTCCTGAACAATAAACACTGAAAGAATTCTAACCGGGAGTTCACAGTTGGCACATAGGAAAAGTTTCAGCTGGTTGTAATCTGCAATCCGCACTGCTAGATGCCACTAAATCCAACACACTGCTACTTTAAGTATAAACAAACCTAAACAAATCAAGGCAAACTGTTGCAGATAAACTACAGAATGCAGCTGAAAGATGATGGTAAGTGCTGTGAATGTCTCCATTACCTTTAGACCTGGGGAGGGCTTTATACTTGGCCTCGAAGCCAGGCCTCTGGACATCACTGTCAGTAATCAAATTTATCAGCATGATGTTGCCGGATGACACTACCTCCAGAGGGTTGGAGGGGGGCCTCTGACCGCACTTCCTGTGAGAGAAGGATGAGTAGTCAACCGCAATGGTACACAAATCAGGTACGATTACAGAATAAAGAGAGATGTTTGCAACAAATTGTAGTAAACACAACCATAAAGCGTGAGCTGAACGTCTGATGCATTTACTGAATGGAGTTTTGCTTTCCTCTGGATGCGCAACACTTAGGGAACTCAAATACAGCTGTAATTGTTTTTAGTCAGAAGCACTAAAACATCAATTCAGCAAACAAGTTTAAAATGCTTACAGAAAAAAATAATTTGAAAAGAAATCAATAGATAAGCAGAGAGAGGTAGAGAAAGAGATAAATAAGGAGAGATGTGCCAGCACTAGATAAGAATTGCTTAGGCGGAGTTTCAAAGTCAAACATTAGGTACATTAGAAAAAAGTTTCAGCACTGCTGGCGGCAGAGCGATGGAGGTGTGAATGACGCTGCAAGAGCACCAATACATCTACCTCTACTAGAATAATGTCATTATAGAGTATTATATTATGGCTCTCATAAACCTCATGTCACCTTGGATAAAGCTGATCGCTCAATAGCTTTATAAAAATTTTATGCATCACTTGGTAACGCATATTTGTTTGGCAATGGTTTCTGAGTTTGAAATCGCCTGCAGCCACAACTGATGTTGCATTCAGGAGCCCGTAGTCTTCAAATCATAGCCCTCCCCCATAGACAAAGTGCAATTACACACAGTGGTGTAGCAGGATTCAGGTTGGCACCCTTCACAGATTTGAAAGCAGAGGTCTTTTTCAGCCAACTCAATCTCACCGAGGTCTCAAAAGTTAACAATAAAATGAGACATGCAGCGCTAAACGCTTCAGGGCCCCCAAAAAAAAGTTGTTATCACAAATCCAGTGAAAGGAATGAAGTGGAACGTGTTTTTCACCCACATCAACACAGCTTTTACTCCTAAATCCCTCTGCAACATTTCAGTCAAGTGATTCCTTGTGGATTTCCTCTGGGAACTATATTTCCCCTCTCCCTCTGATTGTCAAGGCAAAATAAATGAGACAAATGCTGGTTGAGCCCGATCAAATAAACCCCGCTACCAAGGTTTAAGGCAAAATGAGAATATGGTTTGTGTCACGACTTGATGTACTGTGGGAGCAAACATGAGTAAATTTAAGTTTCCTTTTCCTCTCAGGGGCATTAGTGCGAGGGATACTGCACGGCACACTCAAGTAAATAGCATGAGGTTAAGACCTGATCCATCCATAAAGATTCTACTTGTGAAAAAACACCAGTGTGACCTTGAAGCATAATGTGTCCCAAACCCTCTAGACACTCACAACCCTCTGACTTACTTTGTGATGGCCTGAGATTCATCTGGACTCAGCGAGTCATAGATGAAGACAAAGTCATCAGAACAGTCATCCTCAATGTGGAAAAAAGGGAAAGTGACAAAGATGATGCTGTTCTCCGAAGCACGGATTTGCCACTGACACCGAGACTTTGCGGGGTAGCCTTTGGGGTACCCTGGTGACACAAATTTTTGTTCCTCTTCTGTAGCCTCCAGACGGTGGAAACACTCCTCTGGAAATGACATCATTGGTTACACAGTTAGCACAGACAGGGGTAACTCGGCAAAAGTAGTTTACAGCTTGTAAATCAAAATCTGATCATCATCATCAGTTTCTGCATCTTCTTCTGCTCATTTCCTGACTGTTATCTTAAGAAATATTGACAGTGAAGATGGTATCTTTTCTGTTTTTCCTCGAAATCAATTTCTAATTATGCAAAGCAATGACTTTGCATTACAGATTACACATCTGAATACGATTTAATCACAAGTGCTCCCATCCTTTATGTTGTAGATGTATGTAAAGACAGATTCATGTAAGGATAGTACAGCTACTATGGTAATGTAATGTAGTCTAATCATCCTGAGGTAATAAATCAGCAGACAGTGTCAAAGAAAAGTGTCGGCGGGCATAGTGACTGACTCGCTCTGGCCTGATACAGGGTTCTCAATCTCCGACTAGAGCAGCACATGTACAGTACAGGCCAGTCCAGCCATTCGTTACAGACTGGCAGGAGGGTGAGCATCTAGCCAGCTGGAAAATTACAACTGCGAGTGATTGAAATGGGACATGCTGTACTCACCGGCTCTGGGGTTCCTGGCCATGCGATAATCTGTGGCTGGAGACAGAGAGAGAGTGGCAGGGAAACAGGAGGAAAGGTAAGAATGGGTCGCTAATGTTGGAAGGCTGATAGAATTTGATGCATGAGCCTAAAATATTTGGGTTGCACATTTTCTGTTCAATTTCCCTGCGGTTAAGGGAACTGGTGATGGTGTGTAGCTCTTTCTGCTCCATCTCACCTTGCCCTACAGCAGCAACCCATACATCTCTGTCTAACTATCTGGGACAGCAACATCAAATCATACCCACAGAAATCATTTTAAAGAGGACCAAAACCACTGAGTCACAGGGCCAGCGCTTGGCTGGTGGCCAGGATGTGGACAAATGCAATGTGAATGCTGAGAGGACAGAAGCAAGAAAAATGGCTGTCTCAAGCCAGGCCAGAGCCCAGCTAATATCATTAGAGGATCCAAACAGCATAAAATGTGCAATCTCAGATGCAGCACAAGCAGAGAGGTCTGGCTTATCTGTTATCATCTTATCAGCACAACTCAGAGCGAGCTCCTATAATCCAAATAGAAAGCATACAGAATACCAATGCTGATAGGAGATGACAATGACCTTATTTAGATCTGTATTCACAGAGCTTTATCTTTGCTGATTGTTAAATGTCATAATCTGAAGCCAGCTAAAGGGAACTCCCATCTTCCTGCCCCTTGATGTAACCCCTCACATCCCATGTGGCCCTGGTGATACATACCCGAGCAGGTGATGTCAACGATGCTGATGTCCTCATGGCTTGCTGTTCTGCGCATAACCTTAATGCTATTCTCCAGTACCTCAGATACCCGTTCCTCCGTGAACTCTGGCACAAGCTCCTGGTCTTCGAATGGAATATTAAACTGGGACCAGTAGTAGGCTATTACACCCTCACTGGTGCAAGCAGAGATGGGAGAGAAATGGATGGAGGGTGAAAAGGAAGAGCAGAAAGAGATCATTTGGTAACAACATTCAAGGAGAACATGGAGGATTTGGATTTCTGTAAATCACAAAAGTCAAATTTAGCAGTAGCTGCATGCTTTGTAAACTTCTGTACAGTTACTGCTGCTGTTGGTACAGAACTTCACAGTCCAACAATAACCACGTGTGGCCGCAAGTCAACAGACCTCATCTAACCTTGATTTCTGTTGATCTAAGTAATGCAACAGGCTTGAAACTTCGAATCCACAGAGGTCTGTGCAACAAAGCTTTCCCTTCATACAACATTTAATGTGAAGTTTCTTTTACATAAAGTTTTCACGATCTGTTCAACGGTATAAAAAAATGAAAGGAGCTCAAGATCTCACAGTACCTGAAAGCCGTGACCACAGACTTAGTGTGGTATTTGCTGAGCAGCTCATCGTTCGTGTAGCTGTTCTTCAGCTGTGTAGACAAGATATATTTTTAGCGAAAAGAACATGTACAAGATTTCTGCTTGTCTGCCTAAAGACAAAAGTACAAATTAGCATGTTAACATAAAAAGCGCCTTTCCATGAAAAGCACACAACAATGGGATTCTCAATTAACTGTTTTGCCTTCAGCTGCTGTGAGCTGCGAGCTGTATCAAACAAGGCTGCAGTCATACTCTGTGGTCTTAAATGCGGGTTACTGCCATATATTATGCATGTATAGTGGTATTTATCTTCAAGTACTTGTTGTGAAATGGTAATGCCAAAAAAAGGAGAAAAAAGAAACAGCTGCAGAAGGGCACGTTTAATTTGTTTCGTTAGTGATAAAGCAGAAAATGTCAGGGAGGGTGAGGAAAGGGGTTGTTCACAGGACAATGAGCTCAGTTATCATAAAATATAATATCAAGTTTAAAAATGGCCATTTCTAAAGTTAAAGTCAGCAACTTCGGATATGAACCCATTGCCATTTTACTGAACCCATTTAAGAGACACAGGGGAGATAAAATGCAGTGTTTCAATGACTCTACAGACAGGTGGTGCCAGAGTGGCACAGTAAAGATGTGGGACAACTGGTTTAACATGATGCCTTTATCTCCAAGGTGCTTAAGCCCAGCATACTTGAAGCAGCACTCCACAAGCTGCACCCGTCATGTAAACAGTAACCTAGATCAGAAATTACTCCTCAAAAGCTTTTTTGTTGTATGCAAGTGCAAACCTAGCACATCATGAAGCTTATCCCCTCAATCATGCAGTCATCTAACACTCCAGCTCCACTCTAATCCTCACTAACACCCTCACTTCTGCAGTTTTAAACAGAGAAAGGGTGCACTTGATGGGGTTTGAGCAAGGTTTTTTTTTTCTATCGACATGCTGCGAAGTGGTGCTACGACCATCTCCACTGCCTCCAATAATAGGAGATGCTGTTGAGGGAATTACTAAGAAGATGTACAGCATTTTATCCCACCCACGCGACTGTGCCTTCAGCACTTTGTGTGCATTGGGAGGGGCATTTTTAAAAAGCATTTTCCCCATGCCAAGCAACTAATCCTCAGCGAGAGAAGAGAACTGTGTGTAACACTGTGCTCAAAATAGTTAACAATAAACAATGCAGAGGATAGAAAGGAAGCGAAAACAGGAAAGTCATCTTCGAGTGTCAAACTCACAATTGCCTCCAGTTTGACCGCCAAGTCCTCAAATTCCTTGCTTTTGGTATCCTCCAGGTTCTGGTCATAAGGTACATCGGCCAACTGCATATGCCCACTGAAGACCTTTGTCAATCGGCTGTTCTGCATACTGAGAGCGCTATCTGAACCAGCATCTTTAACTTGGAGGAGAGAGGCAGATGAGAGTTAAGTGTTTGATCAACAAAATGCTATAAGATAGCTGCCTCTGATGAAAGAGGAGACTTAGGGGTTTTAAACAGGCCCTGAAGCGCTATTTTAAAGTTGTACAGTGCGATCTCATATCAAGCAGACAGTTTGGCTCTCAGAGCAATTAAAACAGCCAGTTGAATCAAGAGGCTGTTTATCAAGACTTCAGAGGCCTTTTTATCAGACTCTGTATGTGTAAATGACAAGGAAGCTGTGCCATGGACTCTGTGACATTTTTCTCCTTTGCATTATTAAAGGAGAAAGTCGGAGCTGTCAAATAGGCTAACACTAATGGGAAATTACAAAGTCCAAACAAGCCACTCTTACACTCTTATATCAAAGAGCTGTGCCTTCACAGCAAGTGGGAATGATCCACTTTGCAGTTTCTGATGCTACGCCTGTCTTGAATAAATATTCACAATTTCTCATTTAATTCTATTAAGAATACCCCTGATTTATGTACAGAAATGTCCAAAAAATGTCCAACATCTTGTGATTTTCTTCATCGTTAATTTATCATATGAAAACACAGCGCTATACTTCAAGTCTCCACTGTGGATGATATAGCCGAGGAAAGCTTTCAACTATACTCACAGACAAACAGCCAAATAAGGAACGCTGCAATAGCCGCGAGGATGAGAAGCCCCACAAGGACCCCGATCACGATGCCGACCTTCCGCTTTGATGACCCCTTCTCTTTGCTTGTTAAGAAGTCAATCCGCTCATGATGGCTGTTGTGGCCCTGATGCAGAGAAAGAGTGAAATATAGTCAGTAAACATATAGCAAGTTTGCCATGTTCTAGATGCAGATAACATTTACTTAGAATAAACAGTGAGCAAAAGTGTAGTCCTCCAGTGTAACAATACTACAGTAACACCAGGGTTGGAAATGAGCAGTGGCCATCAGCCAAATGATAGTGAAATATGCAAGTAGCTGCTAGATGTAATTCACTCACCAGCCAAAACAAACAATGGTAATCTATTTAGTGGCTGGTAGATTTTGGAATCCACCAGCCACATTGGCAGGTGGACAAAAAAAGATAATTTCAAACCCTGAGTTACGCTAACTTCTATTTTACCACAAACCCTAAAGGAGATCCCCAAATTACTCTACAAGGATTAAGCCATCAACAACAGTTTCTGACACAATAAATCACATTTTCTCCTCATAGATAAAATAAATAAATAATGCAAGGTAGTTAGTCAAACAGCAGGATAATGATAAAAGCCATACATCTTAGATGGACATTTCTGTAACTGAAATCAATGAAACAACACTGCTAACATAGTAATCCCATAAAAGAAATGATAAAAGCATCACTGCCCCTCATACTGAGAATGTGATCAATGTCTGGAAAAATGTTACTAGGGAAACATTACTGACCCATTATCAGGCTACCAAGGAAATCAATCAGTGGAGGGAGGAGTTTGTACTCCAGGAGCAGGTCATTGGTGTAAAACAAACAAGAATGGTTTTAGTGCTCAATATATAAGGTTTACTTTGAAGGATCTAGTGGCATCTAGTGGTGAGATTACAGACTGCAACCAACTGAAACTTCTCCAGTGAGCCAAATGCATAGGACAGGGGTAGGTAACCTGCGGCTCCAGAGCTGGTGAGGCTCTTTAGCCCCTCTCTAATGGCTCCCTGCTGCTTTGACCAAAAATTAGGCTACTTGGAAATGAATCACATTTACTTTTGAACATTTTAATTTTCATTTATCATTGCTGTAGGCCTAAAGTGATTCTCACAGTATCTAATTGTAAAAAATATGTAACCTACAAGCCTAAAACAAATTTAAAAAAATGTTTTACCATTTCATCGACTAAAATGTGAGTCATAGCTGTGTCTACATTCTGGCGCCTTTTCTCTAAACTTTGCCGAACATCAAGAGCAGTGGCTTGTCTTGAGTCTCGTTAGCAAGGCTCGCTGTGGATTCCAAACCCAGAAAGGAAAAGTCTTGCAGGAAAACAGTGAATTTAACAGTACACAGACAGATTTGTTTACTTTTGCTGCAAGGTACCAAATATTCAGAAATGCCTTACAGCAGAGTCACCACCTAGTGGTAAAACATATTAATGATCAGACCTATTAGTAATGTTGATAAGCTAATATAGACTTAATAAGGCTGTGTTGCCTTTATGATAAGGCTCAAATATATTTTGCGGCTCCAGACAGATTCAATTAACCTGGACCGAAATGGCTCTTCTGGTAGTAAAGGTTGCTGATCCCTGGTGTGGGAGAATCAGTGGCAGACCTAGCACATTTGATGCCCTAGGCAAGTTTCCCCTAGTGGGTTTTGATTGTTTGAATGTCAAAAAAAAAAAAATCTAGGAAAAAAAAAAATTGGAGGGTAGGGGGCAAGTTTATCGCCCCCGCTCTGGCTGGTTCACTAGGCAGCTATCTGTGTCGCCTAGAGGAAGATGCACCACTGGAAAAACTACAGCGGTCAATGGAAAAACATGAATGGCCATATCTAGAGCCAGTGTTAAATTTATCTGTTCTGGGCTATTGTAGAGCAACATGGAGGTCTCCATGGAAGAGGTCCTGCTCTGTATGAAGATACACACTCTAAGGTATCTAAACCACAGTCAGTCCTAACCTCAGGTGATGATACAGTAATGAAAACATATTGAAGGACATTATATACCATTTCTGCTGATAGATGTCCCTAATCCTTCACACTGGCCCTTAAACTGCTGAACTATGACACAGAACTGCCTTAAACTACTTCCCAGGAGTGACAAGTTGAAACAGGCAGCTAGGCATATGTTTGCAAACAAAACTAGCCAAACCTGTTAAGTAAATGTGACAACACTCCCACACTCATACCGTACACATACTGTACATGCATTAAGAAATTGCAACTCAGGGAGACCTTGTAGAGATTATGGGCTTTCTGCTTTAGGCGGTGCGTGTGTGTGCGTGTGTTGTTGAGCTCTCTCAAGTGGGCGGACTGAGAGAAAGGTTTCTGGCCGGTTAGTAATCAACACACAATGAATTCAGTGCCTGTAGCCCATGAGTGAAGAAGCCCGAGTGCCATTAGGGATGGAGAATCACTTTGGTATTAAATCAATTTGTCAGATGTGCTGCCCCTTAAGATGGGGGCTCAATTACATGAGTCTGGATGATAACTCATGGCAATTAAGGCCTATTCTTACCCGGCTCGGGCTTCCACACATGCTTTCTAATTGGAATCTCTAACAGCAATCATGGGCCGGAATGAGGGGAATCATTAGAGATGGGGTCAGCAAGTGCTCCGGGGTCTCTCTCTATCAGTCACCCTGATCACAGCCTAATAAAACCATTACATGCTCTTCATCATTTCCCATTCTTCACTCCCAGAAAGAGATACTATCCCATTTTTGAACTATGTGTAAGGTTTTTTTTAAATACCAGCTCTGTGTGCTGTGCCATTATTAAACAGGAATTAGTACTGTCTGTCTTTCATTGACTGGCTTATGAAGAAAAGCCACAACATGCTGATGCAAATGTAAAACAAATGTTTATGTTTGACTAGAAAATAAGCAAAATTGCTGGTAAACATTCTGGAGTCAGTTGCTTCAGAGTATTTTAGGTAGGCTAACCAGTTTGACAAGCGGGAAACAAGTTAACTGTGCTGTGAGGTGTGGTTTCAGAAAAAACCCTCCAGCAGAATTACTGTGGCATTTCTGCACAGGTCCTTATTAAAAAACGATTTTGCATACCAATCCAGATTTCGTCAGCTGACAAATCAAAGATGGGATGTATAGTAATTATGATATCTAGCTACTCTATACCTTTAAGGCACTGGCACTTATTTTTCTGATTATGCAACTGATTACAGTTTGATTTTTGGTGATTGCATTTACTTGTACACACACACAACATGATAGAAAAAACAATAAGTCAGAGTCACCTGAGTCATTTTCAACATGGTTAAAGCATTAATAAATGGGACTGTTAAGTGTGTCCTTTTGATACTTCAGTACATGTTACTCTGACAGATATTAAAGGACCTGTGTGCAACATTCAGAGCATATCTGTGGTTCAGAGTCTGGGGCGGGACTGTCTGCACATGGTTCTCAATAGGGGTGTAAAAATCCATCAATCTGGATCGATGTATCGATTCAGTGATCAATGATCCAGTGTCATCAATGCAAAGTGAAAACATTGATCCATATCGTCATTTTTAGGATACGCTCTTATTTTGAAAGTCTGTGTCAACATCAAACAGTGGCAGGCAGATGGCAAGCAGCCGGGAGAAAGACGATGAGGATAATGTGATTTACTCAGGAATAAATCAGCAGTGTGGAAATACTTTGGATTTCAGAGAATATACGGGTCAACAGACAGAGCACATGGCTTATGTAAACAATGCCGTTAAGATAAAAAAAAAAAAACACAACATATCGACCTGCTTGGTGGGGCATCTCATCCTGCTAACTTCTCACCACAGCATATGTTGGGCTGAAAAAACATGCATGCTGGCTGAAATTCAAACGTGCTGTTCTGTCGGGAGATGCAATGGCTGAAAGCAACAGTGAGTAAGAAAAAAATAAGGTTATAAATGATAAGGTTAGTGGAGTCAGTTTAAAGTTACTGCACTTAAGCAGTTACAATTACTTAGATTATTTATGTGTTGTTTTTATCTTTTACGGCCAAAAGCAAAAAAGAAAGGGGTGGCAGCTTCTTCTGAAAATGACTGTGTTAAATGGGCAGATAACATCGTCTCATATCAATCGCAGGCCCCTAAATCGCAACGAATCGAAATCGTATCATGGCAGACTTTGTAACATCTGTAAATATCATATTGTTGTTCAAAGAATATAATATCGTATCGTGATGAAACTGGTGATTTACACCCCTAGCTCTCAACATGGAGATGGCTGAGTTGGTGGTTAGCAGCTAACGGTGCTAACTCCATAAACAGTGCTAACAAAAGCAACAGTGGTGACAGAGCTGATGGTGTTAACCAGGAAAAAATTGGAGGGTGGGGGCTGTGCTGTGCAAAGACGATGTCCCTCTATCAGTGGTAACTGCTGTGTGAACACAGTGCAAACCCCAAGTGATTAGCTATCCAGTGAGATACACATGTGCACAAACACACAACAAAGAACAGAAAAGCTTGCATTACAACACACAAAGGGAGCATGACTTCATCCTCTGCTCAGGACGCCATTACTCCACTATATCTTTACATAGCAAATAGAGGTTATTTGCTCTATTAACGCTGTGAATGTCGCATACAGCACCTTTCAAGTAAAACTCTAAATAAAAGACCATTACAGTCTTGGTTTTACATCAACTCAGGTAACAGATTGAGTGACCTTTCCTGCCACTGATCCAATCAAATCGGCCATGTTGACCTTAAGTTTCAATGCTCAATAAATCAAACATCAATATGTAATGCTACAGAGCACAGTGCTGCAAAAACCTCAAAGCCTGGAGCCCAAACAACATTACTCATGTGGATTATTTTGCTTCAGTTCTCAGCTGACACACATAAATAGAGGGCGAGACATGAGAAACAGGAAGTGATGAAGATGAACCGAGAGCAGAGTGAAAAGACAGAAAATTGAAATTTAAATCAAAGTGATTAAAACATCTTATTTGCGCCAAAGCATTAACAGTTATTTTATATTCTGCACTTCAGTCATGCAGTATTAGACATTATGAAGTGCCATGGAAGTGCCCTTAGTCTTTAAGGAGAGTGAAGTGCGTTTACTAATCTACAAGACTACTACACATGGCATTTGACTATC